AATTTTCAATATGATACCAAAATTTTGAATTTCGCTACCATAGTCAACTCTTGATGATAGATAAGAGGGTTAGCCTTAACTATCAAAAAGTAATTTTTTTGATTACTTATAAAAGTGATACATACAAAGTTTTAGGGTTAATTGTACTAGAGGTCTCTAAATTATAAAATTTGTTTCATTTTGGTCTCCAATTTTTCAATTGTATCATTTTGATTCTCAATATATTAAGTGCATCATTTTGATCTTTAAAGTATTAAATATATTTATATGTGGTCCTTCAAGTAAATAACGTTCAGGTTACTCATAATTTTTATTATAAACTTGTGACTTAATATTTAAATATGGATAAAAAAATAATTTGAATAACTCTGGACTAAATTTCTATTAAAATTTTGGTCAAAAAACTATCCAAATTACACAATTTTGAGAATGTTTGTTCAAGAGCTATCTAGGATTCTTCTCTCTCTAGTTATTTGATAAGTGGGCTTAATTCATATTTAACTAAAATAATTGTTCTATATCTGTTGAGATGAAAATTTTGGTAGGTTTAGGTCTCTTCTAATTTTTGTTAATTACCTTTCTTTTAATATGTTTTCTAATAACTCGAATTAGAAGTGTTGAGTAGACACATCTTTTGTTTGCGAAACAAAACTTTATTAAAATCCAACCAAAACTTTATAGTTTTAGGGGCAAAGCCATGTTTGCTAAGCACAACTTTCGTATGAAGATGGGATTAGCAACCACGATTTTACTGAGGTTGTATTTACCAAACACTATTTATTTGGATTTTAAAATTAAAATTAAATACCCTCTGATTTAACTTAAAAAAATTATTAGATCAACAATCGCGTCTCTTTGGTCCATTTATTAAAATCCAAATAAGATTATTTGTTTATTTAAAAAAAAATCAATTTTTTTTAAACGTTTGGGTCTTTGCCCTTTCATTAATAATCATACAAAACACAATCTACCAGCAACACAATTTTCAACTCATCAAGGGGATTGTAAATCTAATTACAAGAGTGTAAACGTCTATTTGTTGATCTAGCCATCCAGTTTCGATGAGACAAATTCACATGCGGCAAAGAAAGAGAAAAGAGAATTGGGGATTTTAAACCTTGTTTTTTTGACAATACTTAAGTTACGAATACAACAATATTTAAGTATGTGTAGAAAATTTAAGTATGGTTCAATGGTTGAGTTTGATCACTAATAACTTCGAAGTTTCAGATTCAATACTTTTCATATTCTCTAAGGTTCAATCAATTTTGTTCCTTAAGAAACATGTTTTAAACCTACTCGAGCTATGATGACCTATATCCGAACTCGAAGGACTAGTCGGCGCAAGTTAAATATCCTATAGCAAAAAAATAAAAATAAATATTGACCCAGTATTATAGAATTTGAAGGGAGTCAGATATATGCAATCTTATTTCAGTATTCAAAGAAACTGTTGTCGCGACTCAAATCCTTCACATACAAACTTAGAAAAAGACAGTTCAATACACGAGACTCTTGTTGTTGCTGTTGCAGTAGATATACATAACCTTTATCTCTGCATGCAAAGATATAGTTTTCGTGATTTTCACCCATAATACCCATATTACAATAGAACAATCTTACTATTATGCAACATCTAAGGACAAAACTATGAGGAGGCCATCCTCCCCCCCCC